TTTACAGCGTCATCATCGTTAAAAGTTTTACCACGAAGGGAGTTGTCCAGGGATCGAAATAAGTGGTAATCCGATGGCGCGAGATCAGGGCTATATGGTGGGTGTAACATCAATTCCCAACCAATATCCATCAATTTTTGCCGAGTGGACAAAGACGTGTGCGGCCTAGCATTGTCCTGCTGGAAAATGACACCTTTACGATCGACCAATTCTGGTCGCTTTTCCTTGACCGCTGCATTCAATTTGTCCAGTTGCTAACATTCGCGGATAATAAAAAATAACATAATAATAATAATAATAATAATTTTATAATATAACATTTACAGATATCATAAAAGTGGGAGTGAGAGACATCTATAACTGAAATCGGCAATTACTTAGTTACCAATCCAATAGTTCAAATGTTATTTCAATTTTTTAAAATGGCACCAAAGTGGTACCACCGGCATACAACAGATAGTTTTTGCATGGCACCGGTGCCACCGGACGGCATAGTGTTAACCCTTTGCACTAGAAGCTATTTTAACTGTAAATATAAGATCATTCTTCTAACTTATATAGTATTTCTATTTTATACGACAAAATGCATTTTATGCATACGAAATTGTTTCTTGGGACTCACGCAACAGTTACACTCTTAACAATTTATTATAGCTCTACACTTTGTTAATATCAAAATTATCTTAAAAGGTGATATAACAAATTTTAGCGATGCCTCAGAGTCACCACTCGAGTGCAAAGGATTAATTATAACGTGAAGGTGATTGATTCCGTTACGTCGTTTGACCGAGAATCACTTTGATGGCCGACAGTGTCCTTTTAGGCAGAGGTTAGACGACTGCGAATCAAATAAACATAAGGACACTATTACCGATTAGCAGTTACCGCGCACAATAGCACAAAGGCATAGTTCCAGAAGGATCTAACCACTTGGAAAGTTTCCATTCCGAGGAGGACTTTGATTTCACGGAGTAAATCATGAGTTCGCCTTTTGAGGGGACACAAGTAGACAATGGCCTTTCCTAACAATGCTCTCGGATTAAAGGGGGATTCCTTGCGCAGTTTGAACCGTATTGAGAGTCGGATCGCCTCGGCTGCCGAAATATGGATCATATTAATTTGATCTCGCCCGAATGAATGCACCTTTCGAATGTGCGTTTTAAGAATCGAACGAAACAGATCCTGCAAACGTAACTGTGAAATTAGACATTACATGGTGTCGAACCAGATCACGTGGACTTAACCCTTTGCACTCGAAGCTCTATTTCAACTGTAGATGTAAAATAATTTTTCTGACTTACAGCATTTTCATTTTATACGACAAAATATATTTTATGCGTACGGAGTTGAGTTTTGTGACTCGCAGCTTTGTTAATGTAAAAATTACCTTAGCACGCGATATAATAAATTTTAATGGCGCCTCAGAGTCACCACCCGAGTGCAAAGGGTTAAAATATTGTTAAAAAACCGTTCACATGAACAGATCCGCGCTGATAGAAGGAAATTTCAAAAAGCGACACGAATTTTCTAGAAATTATCGACGATCTTAAAAATTCGAGAACTTATTGGAAGCTTGGCGCACACTAGGCTTGCAAGATATTAGTTATCGTCATTTAATATGAAATTATTGAAAGCCGTCACGTGTATATTGAAACCTATTTTTCTGTAAATATGTAACGCCGTTTTGTGTATTAATTTTCTATCGCGCCTCGCAATTCCAACGAAGAGATATAAGTAAAACAACGAGTACACGAATGTTCGCACCAAAAAATTGTCTCGCAGGACAGTGCAGCGATGATGAATAATTTCGCAACCGCGACGGAACACTCTTCGAAACAACCGTCGCGCTTATCAATTTGCTGGCTCGGTGCAACGATTAATAATTTAGCGACGACGATCAGCAGATTCTCGAAAGTAGCGCTCAAGGTTGATGCAAAGCTTCGGTGCAACGATTAACGACCTTGCAATCGCGGCGCATAATTTCTGCAAAGGGGTTTCTCCATTAAAGATCGATCTCCCGTTTCACAGAGAGGGTTCACGGTGTCTAGGAAGCTGTCCGTACTTTATCAATTCACGGTCCACTTGCACGCGGTTTTCTTCTATTCCGAGGCGGATTCGCTTTCGAAGCGGGGAAACGATGTAAGAAGCTGCAGCTGCAATGCGACCGCCGCGCCGCGAGCATTTCGCTAGTCCGATGTATATTTAATTTATATTGGAATGTCGCGGAGCGTATTGGGAACGGAGTTCATGGGTTACAGCGTATCGGAGAGACATAGTCGAGCACATAATGCGGCTGGTTTTATATTTTCCCTGGAAAAATTTACTCGCGGACGGCCGGCAGATCGATACGGCACGGTTTCCTGTTGAACTCGGTGTTTCGAGGCGAAATATCGTTCTTTTCTTGTTAACGTGAACGTTAACAATAGCGGATCGTGTCGAGAAAGTCTATTGCAAATAATTTGTTGCGAACGATTTAATGTGTTAGCGTTGTTCTGAATCGAAAGGTCTTCGTTTCTTTGTTGACTTTTTTTTATTATTGACTCGCGATTTTCATACTCGTTAAAATTGCTGGTTCAGGATGAATTCGATCGGAATTAATGCGAACCGTACCGTATAAGCATGTTACGCTTCTTTAATGATATACGGTTAATTTCTTATTTGATGTTAAAAATAATTTACGATTTTAAAGAGATATTATTTTTCATGGGAATATTTTATTTAAATATTTACGATAAATACGATAAATACGATTTTAAAGAGATATTATATTTCATGGGAATATTTTATTTAAATATCCACGATAAATACGATAAATACGATTTTAAAGAGATATTATTTTTCATGGGAATATTTTATTTAAATATTTCATAGGAATTTCAGAAAATATTATCTATTCTGAAAATTACGAAAATATTTATAAAAAGATTGCAGCCCCGTATTATAAAAATTTTAGTTTCGTATTAAAAACGAAGTGGTAACAAGGATTGACACTGCGATTCTTATTTCTTTATAACTGTACAAAATTAATATAACTCAAAATCTGTAAATATGAATCCAGAGATGTAAATTAATGACGAGTTCACGATTTAAACAAAAATTTAGTTTACACTGATACGTGAAGCGCAGAATAACTTTCTCAATTACGAAGGAGAAATAGATACTTTCGCCATATTGTTCCGACAGATTAAATTAGTTTGAAAAACCCCGACAAATATTTGTATGGGATTTCGAAGTTACGATTGAGGCGCAGGGGGGGTTAAATGCATGTGAGCATAAAGATAATTTAATGAAATAGAATGTGAAACAGAATAGGAAAATATTGTTGATTAACTTACCGGAGAAAAATAAAAGTCCATTCGGTCGTCTCGTTTTAAATTGCAAGCTGATCGATTCCTGCGTGCTGGGAATTTGCTCGCCTTTCGTCAGGTCTATCGTTATGTACTCCGTTCCCTTGAAAGAGGCCTCGGAAGGTGCTTTATCTGGAACAAAGAATATATTCGCACGTTAATCTCAGGATTTAAAATTATAGTCAAGCATAGTTGTGACGGTCTGAATAAATGAATTTCTAATTATAGAATGATTGCGGCAACATTTACAGCCAAGCTCTAAAATTGTTTTAAAATTAATGTTCGTTGCATATATGCGTATGTACATCAGACCAGTATATGTATATTTCTTGAATATTTGATTGCAGCTAGCACGCCGATCATTATTAAGTTTCCTCTTGTCTTTACATCCCCAAATAGAGTTTCTCAAAGTACCTCACACTAATCATTGGTCTTAGTAAAGACGAATGTAAACTATCATAGAACGAATCAATTGATTCCAATAAAATATTACGAACTATCATATATCATATTTTCTTGATTTCTAATTAATCTGCAAATATTTCTCTTGAAGTGTGTCAGTTAAAACTGTAGTTCATTAGAGGTTTCCACCTATCGCAGGACAAATTAACTCTTTGCACTCGAATGGCAAGTCTGAGGCACCGCTAAAAATTGCTATATAATTCTTCTAAATAATTTGTACATTATCGAATTGGTTCATAGTTAAAAAATCATTAAAAATATAGTCATTGTACGAGCGAATAAACAGACTTTCACATGCGAACGATACGAAAATAAGATGAGAAATATGAGAAATATGAGAATATGAGAATATTATACATCGGAAGAGAAATATCTTAGTCTTGAAGTTAAAACAGCTCCGAGAGCAAAGGATTAATTAATTCAGACAGAAGTGATCGAAATGGTGCCAGCGTATAAATAATACCGACAACAGTTCCATTCGAGTTGCCGCGTCAACATCAAATTTTTATCGCGAGTATCATAAACAGCGCCTTTAATTATTTAATGAAGTTCAGTCCGCGTCGTAGAAAGGTCTCTTTCGAAGGGCCGCCGGCGACGGAAGTTTAAATGGAAACACGCCCGTCGAAATTAATAAAGCCCTGGCGAAGATGCGTCGGCTTTAACTTCGACTTAATTAAAAGCGGCGGAACGCTCTCCGTCCCACCCTCTCTCTCTCTCTCCGTCTCTCCCTCTTTTTGCTCTTTATTGGTCTTCTTTTTGTAATTCCTTTTTTCCTGCCGTTTTTCGTAAACACACTCGAGGTTTTTCAATTCGGATGTACGGCCGTAGACGTCTGATCTTGGCGAGGGTGGCGAGCAGCTCGCCGGGCGAGACCTCTCTCATTATTTTCCATCGTCCCATTGTTATCATGCGGCCAAACAAAAGTGCGCGGAGGCAAGGCCAGGCAAAAAGGCCATAAGACGAGCTTTAATGGCTTTGGAGCGGCGCCAAATCGCGGCCGCTTCGGGGTTGAATGCACCGAGTCGTCGATTGAAATGTTCATTATCACCGCAAATCATCCAGCAATCCGCGAAGGGCGAGGGCGACGCCTCCGCCCGAGAATCCCGGCTCGTGACGCTCGGTAACGATTTTCGAGCTGCTTACGAGAGCCGGTAATTCGATCAAGAACGATCCGGCACCGCTCGATCCGAAAATTAATTGGCTCGCCGATGAACTGCTTCGGGAATCGGCGACGAATCAAATGATCGCCGGAACCACGTTTGGTCGCACGTTGCTCAACCCTTTGCACCGCGATCTCTTTCGTAACTGCGTTGATCAGCGTTCTTGCGTCACGAACACGTTGCGTGCCGCGGCCGGTCCTCAAAATTCGGTTTTACCGCAACGTTCTCGAACAAATTGAATTCGACTAGGATGCTTCAAATGCGAACGAGTTCAAGTGACACACAACTCGATTCTAATTATCTAGTTTCAGTCTCGTTAGCTCTAGGACGCTTCTGGTATTAGAAGGTATTGGAAATGGGTAGATAAATAAAAGTAAAACGCAGTGAATTAAACTTATCCCTTTTATTTTATTAATTTGATGTACGAGGAAGGACCGTCTTTACTCTCCTGATTGCTCCAGGAGACTGAAGACTATTCACAAAGACGAAACCAAAAACGTCACCTAAAGACAAAGAGCACTCTGTTCTATATACATATGAAATCATTGTTTATCTAATGGTACTCTGGCGAGACTCTCGGCGTCGATTCGTTTTTGTAACTTATATGCTAGAAGGAAAAACTTCTGAGTATTCAAAAGAGAGAAAATAATCCAATAGAAGGTTTTTAGTCCTGCTTAAGGGACGATCATTTCGTATTCATGTAAGAAAAAGTGCTATAAGTATTATTGTCCCTGTTTGAGGTATACTTATTTATGCGTTACTGTGAAATAATACATGCGGGTACCTGCGGTAATAAAATATAAAAAATTGATGAAAGAACGTTGTCAAAACGAAAGCGTATGCTTAAAATTCTGTGGTCATTTGTTGATTCTCCCTTAAGCATGCTAGAGTTAATTAAATCATTTTCGTTTAGTGAGAATTTCTGGGATTGGCTTTCCGTAACTGTAACAGAATGTCTGATTAAAGAGCAGAGAGAAGCTTTTCTTTCGTCCCAATTTATAAAGGGAAGATCGTAGATCTGTGATAAGATAATTAGACAAATTTGACGTATGGGCAGGAAAGTAGGGCAAGAATATAACCAACGCAGTAAAATAGGGCGTCTATGGCCAGTAGAATGATACAATGTGTCATCCGACAGGCTTAATAAGGCAGCGTTTGTTGGATACAGTATGATAGGACAGTTTATGGTCACAGAAATAGAATAGGCTAGTTTAGCATCCAATAAGTAGAATTGGACAGTCTGTTCGGGCAGTACAATGTCAGGCAGCTGGTATCGAATGGTCTATAAGATTCCCGATGCTCAGGTGTAAGAGGGCCTGTAAGGCGCCTTATAGTAAAGCAAGTAGTATGACACAGCCTTGAAAATACTTCGTCGTTAAACAAGTGGTATTAGGATTGCTCGTGCGACACTTGGTGATCGGACAAGTGGAATGAGGAGTCTTATCGGACAGTTCGTCATAAGACAAGTGGTTTGAGAGAGACTATTGTCGGATAAGCGATACGAGACGATCTATCAGACACTTGTAAATCACTCCATGATCAGACAAGTGGAATGAGAAGTCTTATCAGGCAGTACGTCATAAGACAAGTGGTTGTTGACAGACTATAATCGGACATGCGGTATGAGACAGCCTCTGAGACACCTTATAATCAGACAAGTAGTAACAGGCAGCCTGTAAGACATCGTACAGTCAGACAAGTAGTATGAGATAGCATTGAAGATGCTTCGAGGTCAGACGAGTGGAGTAATAAATCTTATGTGACAGTACGTTATTAGACAAATAGTTTGAAATAGAATAGCTGCCGAGATATGGCATCGGACGATTTATATGACAGCGCGCGGTCGCATAAGTGGATTTAGGTAGGCCATAATCGGACAGGTATAATAAAACTGCCCGTAGTCAGACAAGTAGACTATGTCAGTTTAAGATCAGGCAATTATTTAGGATGATACAGTTTGTATTCAGGCGAGACTAATTCAGACATGTTACGCGTCAAATGAATGCATCAACTGCACGCATAATTTAGCAATAATACATCTTTATATAATTAAACATTGCTGGCTAGACAATATTTACAATATTACCTATTGAAATATTTACAATATTTACAATATTCCCTATTGAAATATTTTCAATATTTACAATATTCCCTATATTGAAATATTTACAATATTTACAATATTCCCTATTGAAATATTT